CCTTAACCAAGCTCCGTTGCCCTCACTTTATAAGACAGTAGCCACAGTACTAATATACTATCTTATACTGTTGATATCCAGACTATATTATAAAAACCAAAGGCCTTGAGAATAGGAATATATTTACACACAAATTTAATATCTAATAAATACAGGAACATATGTTAACATATTAGATGAACTTCCATTCTTTCTAGATCCCATACCTGATTAACTTTATCAAACAGCAAACACGATCTTGCCCAGTTCTATTTTAGAATATTATAACGGTAACTTGCCCTAAAGAAAATTCCCTGCAAAAGCTAGCACTTAAAAAACATCAGAGCTCCCCAACCCAAGTTATATGATGTCTAACTTGATTACAGGATGAGCTTACCACCTAAAGCCGTACTTCGGTGCTTATCTGCCTTCCTGGTTATGTGATAAACTCCTTGAGAACAAGAGCCGTCTCACACTCAAGGTCAGTTTGTCTTCATGGTGCTAGAGGTTAAACTTAGGGCTCAGCACTTGCTAGGCAAAAGCTCTGCCCCTGAGCCTTGCTCACTTTTTTATTAATACTTATATTTATTATTTTTGTTTCTGTGTGTGTGTGTGTGTGTGTGTGTGTGTGTGTGTGTGTGTGTGTGTGTATGTGTATGTATGCCACATGTGTTCAGGTGGTCACAGTAGCCAGAAGTGAGTAAAGAATTTTTAAAAATTCATCTTTAGTTCATATGCATTAGTATTCTGCCAGTGTGTACATATGTGTGATGGTGTCAGATTCCTGAAAATGGAGTTACAGAGAGTTGTGAGCAGCCATGTGGGTGCTGGGAATTGAACCTGGGTCCTCTGGAAGGGTAGCCAATGCTCTTAACTGCCGAGCCATCTATTCAGCCTCAGTCTTTTTTTTTTTTTTTTTTCCCCCGTGACAGGGTCTGTGTAGCTGGGATTAAAGGTGCGTGCCACCAATGCCCGGCTCAGCCCCAGTCTTATTTAATGTTTTTGTTTTGTTATTTTTTGTTGTTGTTGTTTTGTTTTTCTAGTTTTTCGAGACAGGGTTCCTCTGTGTAGCTTTGGAGTCTGTTCTGGAACCACCTCTTGTAGAACAGGCTGGTCTCGAACTCACAGAGATCCACCTGCCTCTGCCTCCCAAGTGCTGGGATTAAAGTGCACCACCACTGCCTGAGCCTTATTTAGCTTTATACTAGCTGCATTTTATACCTGCACATAAAAAATTTTTAGTTAACATTATTTATTTTGTACAATGATAAATTCCTGTGTTCCCCAAAATAACTGCTTCCAATTGGATGATATAATCAATCATGTTCATCTCTCTGTTTGTAAACAACTTAGTGTTTGGAGGGGTGGGACATGAAAACCTTTTAATCGTGGCAACTCAAGAGATTACAGAAAAAAGCTCTGAGTTCTAATCTAAATGTAAATATATGTCACATGAAGCCGAATCTGCATTATTTCTAAAAGAGAAAAACTTCATTCAAGAGAACTTGTTATGGAGGTCTTTTGTCCTGGCTCTGTTCTAGAGATGACTAGATATGATACTGACCCAGAGGCATGGATGATGAGAGAAGAAATAGAGAGAAGCTGTTACTCAGCCTGGAATGTCACCTTAAGAGCACTGGTGATAAAGATAGGGTGACTAACCAGAAAGACAAATGAGCATGTATTACTGACAGCACTGTGGAGCCACCATACTGCCCCAGACAGTCTACATCTGATTCTCACTGCTTAGGAAACATCTGTAATTTGTTGTTTGTTTGTTTTGTGAAGTTAGGAATACAGCTCAGCATACATTAATATAACTATAAATTTAAGGCCAGCCTGGAAAATGACTCAAAAACAAAAGAAAACAAAAGAGTATGTATATGAGCACATTACATATACATGTACAAACTATCTTCCCTAACCATGTCTAGTGAAAGGCCTTGAAACCACTCACACTCCAGCAGCAAAAAGCAGCATTCCCAAATCTCTGTTATAAATACCTGTCATCTTTACAAACTAAAAAGCAAAAGTAAGGTTCCTGTAGAAATGGCTGATTTCAGGGGTAGAGCAAGCAAAGCACAAGATGAATCAGAAACAATTTATTCTGCAAGAAAGGAAATGCACAGTGAACCCGATAGGAGCATGATAAATGGGCATAGCAGCCAGTTTAAAGATGCTCCCCTGACTAACCTGGGGAAAACTGAAATAGCACAATACATGAAAATAGTCACAATTTTGGAATTTATTTCCACAATTATATCTTGTTACATTCGTGGCTAATGACATGGTCTGCCACTGTATGCCTCTGGGTAAGAGTCACTGGGAAGGGCATGGCATGTTGGTATTTCTTTCAGTAAAACATCACTTACCTGGGGTGCGGGGGCATGAGGAAATATTTCATAGTTCTAGGATGAGGGTTATGCTAGAAAATGCAGGTGTATATTTGACAAAATTGCTAATGACTTGGAAGATGGGGAAACTGAGGCCAAAGATGTCTGAAAAAAAATTAACATAGTATGCATTCCTGAAGGGTAGTATGTGGCTTGTATAACAGGGCTTTGCTTTTAGAAAGCAGACACTGTAGTATTTCAGGGTAAAAGCACACATGCCTGAAGCTTCCTCACAATGTTACAAAAGACTGATAAAACTCTATGTGTTGAACATATGTATTTATGCATGGAGACAAAAATGGTAAGCAATTAAAGAACTGTAGCAGAATATTAACAGTGAAAGAAATCTGAATGAAGGAATACAATGGCAGTTCTTTGTATTGCTAACATTTTATGAATTTAAAATTACTTCTAATTCAAGTCATCTGAAATCATTTCAAAACTATTGTTAAAAATCTGAAAGCTGTAATGTATAATACCTGCCGGTAGAAAAGAATGGGATACAGCTATCAGTGTCTGTGACCAGAAACAGAATGAAAACTTATGTTTAAACTATTTACACCTTCCTTTACCATACTGACTAGATGCATTAACAAGGAAGGTAATTGTTTTACATCTTTCATTTACTAAAGGCATCTGATAGGCTTTTTCCGTCATGGATTTTAAGGGGATATTTTACAGCTCAATGATAAAGAGTATGTGGTGTGTGTGTGTGTGTGTAGAGAGAGAGAGAGAGAGAGAGAGAGAGAGAGAGAGAGAGAGGCAGGTCAGAAAAGTAGCAAATGTTGCTGTTTTTTTTTTTTAAGAATTCAAGAATCATTAAGGATATGTTATATAATCTCAAAAACAGAAAAGCATGTAATTAGTGATAAAGGACATCGGCCAAAAGAAGAACAAGCCATTAATGGATTTTGATTTTTTTAAAATGAGCAACATGTTTATAATACAAATGAAGCTTTGGAAAAAAGTATCAACAGCAGAAAATCTGAACTGTATAGAAATGTTGCTAACCCATAAATCCTACTAGTCAAGTCTGAATGAGTATTTTCATTGCAGAACCAAAACTCTCAAGGCCTTTAGACACAATCATAGTCAAACATCTAGATTGGTAAATTCAATGAGAAAAGGAAATCTTGATATAAATATCTGTAGAGGCAGAACATAAACCCTGATCTTCACACACAGTTCACTAAAGGTTTAATGAGGCAAAGTAATAAAATAAGCAGGAAAGTGAAGTTTTTAGGGTGGGGAAGAGGCAGTTTGAAGAAAATAAACGGTAAAGTCCAAAAGTCACTGTTTCCCAAGTTAGGTCATTTTGAGAAGGTACATAAGATACCTAAGCATTTTTAGGATAATGCAGAGAAACTTCACGAGGCTGAGATAATACTGAACTGACTCTCAAAATCTTTTTTTTTTGACAAATATGTCCCATATAAAACTTAGTATTTGAAAGAAACACTTAAACATTTAACCTAGATGAATGATGATTTATGTACCCTCAAAGGGAAAAAACTATTCAAAGCACTGAGGAGAGTTTTTCACTTCCATTCATGGAGATTCAGAGAAACTTAATTCATACTTTTTCCATCAACTGTAACCACCCATATAAGAAAATGTCTTTGATCTTTTACCTACAGGTAAGCTGTATAAATAAATGCACGTCACTTTCATAAGTGAGCACACCCAGGAAAGGAGGAGGAAAGACAATCAAGCCTCTCAGAATTGAAGAGTGCCACAGCAGTATAAGAGTGGCTAACCAAATTTTATCTTCATAGCTCAGATGCACCTGTTACAGCCCTCACTTTGTAAGACTGCATGCATGGTTTCAGGACACTTTCACAGCATAAACTCGGGATTTTCAGAGCTGTGAGAGAGGGATCAAATAAATGAGATAGGAAAATACAGTTCTATTTTTCCTTCTTTGCCCCAAAGATAATAGAAATCAGTGGGCTTTTAAGACAAGATTGTGCCGTGTAACTGCCCGTTCCCTCAGGAACACACTCAAATCTTCTCATTCAGAAGCTGACTGTGCAGAGAACGGAAGCCACACCTTCAACGATGCACTCAAGTCTGCACAGTGTCGGGCTTCTGTGAGAAGGAAAGTCCATTTCCAGAAAGACAATTGGATCTACATCTTCTGAGCCTGCTTCAAACTAAGGCCTGTGAAGTGTAAAGTTACACAATCAACTGCCAAAAGGAATTTTTGGGGGGAGGGATGACAAAACCTATCTATCGTTCTTAAATAATAATTTTCAAGGATAAAAAAATCATCAATGCTACTGCACCACCTCAGAGTAGTTTACAGACTAATAACAGAGCCTGCAAGGTACAGTGCACCATTATTTTGAGATTATACTTCCTTTCTATGAAAGTAGTAAATGCATGAGGCACATGACAGCTATTCTCCAATCACTGACAGCACTAAAATTATATTTTAATCTAATTTCTGGAAAGTTCTGCTGAAGCAGCCTAAACACACACACACACACACACACACACACACACACACACACAAATTTAATGAGGAAGAGACCAGTCAAATAGTAATCAAAATGGTCAGAAATTAACAGTATCCAGAGCATACTAACTAAAAATTCCGGGGGGTTCACATACGCTCTTCAGATTTACCAGTGAGACTTTCCTGGGATGGGGCGTTAGGATGTTTCAACATGCCACTCCAGATGAATGGAGCTTGAGAGGCGAAAACCTCTCCAGGAGCTGCTTCGTTACAGTTCCAGCTCCAATTTCCTCGGACTCAAACTATCCGTGGAAGAACAGTTCACACAAACGAGGATTCGACGGAGGGTACAGAGGAGCGTCCATCCTTTGGTTTGGGCGGCCAAACCAAACCAACCTAAAAGGTTCAGCGGTGCCATCTACTTTGTACCCATCCCCATCCGTGATAGTCCCGCGGGGCACTCTGAACCTCTCGGGACTTGCGGTCCGCGGAGGCAGTGAGCTCTGGGCTTCTACAGAGAACCGCGGAGGGCGCGGATCTTCTGAGGGCAGAGGGACAAAGCGGTGTAGACGTGTGTGGTGTGTGGAGGATGGGGCGCGCCCCGCGAAGGGAAGCGGGGAGGCTTTGCAAATCCGTGAGCGCGAGAAACCCCGTGGGGGTTACACAGGATGCTGTTACCTGCTCGGGGACTGGGGGACACCGGGGACGACGACGGGCACACTCGCCAGAGACACGGCAAGGGCGTGAGCCGGAGGCAGCGACACAGCAGCCCCGGCCGGAGCCGAGCGGAGCCGAGCCGCGGAGCGGAGACTTACGGTTCCTTCTCCCGGTGGGGGGCGGGGGGGC